AATTTTTTTTTATTAATGTTTGTTATGATCATATACAATCAAAGAAATGGAAGAACATAAGAGAATAAAGACTTTAGCTTATTAAATAGTTTACGTGACTGCCGAAAGCGTGTTTTTATTATGGTCCCGGGAGGAATGTAACAGAATTACCAGAGGTTATGTTATTTTTTGCGATAATCGATTTTGAAATGAACCATCGATTATCATTATCGGTACATGTCATAAGAGCGATAATAGATTTTTCGATAATTATTCCCAGCATTGGCGCCAAGTTCACTAAACATCTTGTGACGAATGCACCCTTCATTTTCCGGAAGAGATAAAGCAATTACTGGTCCTTGCTTTATACTTGAAAGTTCTGTCACTGTCTGAAATAATCTTACTTACTCTAATTCTGTACCCACCTTGAGATGTCATTTTCTATTGCCACGCTTCCAGAAAAAGCCACCATTTGTAACCATTCTTTGCCATTCTTTTGAGTTTTCTCCACTTATACACATTGCTTTTCTCTACAACCACGCTGTGCTACCTTGAAAACCATAGTTGATGACAAACTTACAGGACGATACATAAAACCCCTGAGGTAACATTACAACACAAACATATAGATGAATAAGTTGATGATGTTTACATGGCAGCAGCCATGCTACCAAGTGCGGTTCAGGCACGATCTCTCGGCAAAGTATCTTTTCCGTTTCGGGTAACTCATGCGAATTACAACATACATATTTTATGTCAACAATTCTTGCTGGATTTTGACAAAACTTGGTAATATTATTCAGTATTGTCCCAAAAAGTTCAAAGTGTATGACTGAAGATTGATCATTTCATTGTTGATTGTTAGTGTACTACCAAATATTTTTATTCAAAATTAAAGCTGTCAGTGGGCGTATATTACCTTGCCTGGCAAACTATCTTCCTAATTTTAAACACCCAAAAAGAAATGCTGTAATCTAAGTTGTTGTTTATATGTTTGTAGTTATTTTGCAGGCTGACACAGAGGATGGAATAACAAAACTGGAGAAATGGGACTTAATTTTTACAAATTGTTGCAAGCAGTAAAGAGGGAGTCTACCCTATTTCTGTTAAAAACCACACAACTCAATAGATCAATCAAGTTCCAAGCAAAGACAATTTTCAGAGCATGGGAAATTTATGACATCTTGTTCATCTGCTGATCTGAAATGTATGAATTATATGGATATTCATTATCTAATAATTAAATCATGATTCTGTTAAAAGGGTATCACGCAATTTGATTGGATAACAGCGGTCACGTGCATTCGGTTTATATCTGTGTAAACGGAATGAAAATATAAGCTCCGCCCCTAAACTGTATTACTTTTATCTTTGAGTTTGATTGACGTGGCCACTACACGGCGTCGATTTCGTTCCACGTCAACAGAGCCGAAATGGACACATCACTAAATCAGAAAGGTATTTTCTAAATTCCCTCAAATGTACACACTCAAAATTCCAACAATATCATGAATTCTGGACTTACTTAGAACTCGTCTTTCAATAATTGAACTTCCAATTTGGCCGCTCCGTCAACTTTCATATAGTAGAAAGTAGACTATAAATAGGTGGCCTACTTATTTTTGATTGGCTGTCCTCTAGGACGTCTTTATTGTTAGTATCAGTTCATTATCGTTATGTTAAAATCTTATGTATTTATGCTCCAATTTAAGGCTAGCGCACACGAGAGCTCCCAGCTGAGCAAAATTTCATTCATGCCTCTCAGCTCAGCTCGTAGCTCTCATGTGTGCAGAGTTTATCTGTCGTGTTTGGTAATTTTTTCCTCGAATAAAAAATACCTTACCGTGTGCACACCCAAAAGCTCTTGGCTTTCAACTATGAACTGGGGCGGATGCGCTATCACGTGATCAAACAAAAATGGCTACGCCCATCGGTGAATGCGAGTTTGTATTTGAAGCAATTATCGAAAACAAGTTGGTGGACGTATGGCCGGAATATCCTGCAAGTATTCTTCGTCACTGACGACACAACAACAAAAGAAGAAGTAAAATTTCTTCATATTCTGATTCATTCGAAGGGTTGTAGATGTCCGACAATTTGTTTAAGTCATGTGAGAATGTCACATGATCTAGTTATTTTTAGACGTCTAAGCTTAGCGTGTGCAGGGGAAACCGACGAAAGCTGCGAGCTTTGCTCAGCTGGGAGCTCTCGTGTGCGCAAACCTTTAGTGCCTTAAGTTTTTGTTATATTACATAAATATTTTAACAATTATTTGAGTTGATTTAATTATAAGGAATGACCTGAACATTTTTTCAGTTTATTGATGTATAAACAGGTCATTCCTTAAATATATCAAAATCTATTTATTTAATAGAAATTGTGTTGAATCTCTTAAGTATACAAAATTTTCTAAAGATGTAATAATTATTATTAAGTAATAAAATCTATTTATTTTTCAAAAATTTTTTATAAGTATTCCGGTTTTATAGCTGATTGAAAATAACGATTTTCATCTTTAAAGAGCTGTCACGTGACCTAATATACTTACACCAAAAATTCTTATCTAATCTTATTAGTGTTCATTGGCAATCTGTAATGATACATAACATTTGATATTTTAATCAAAATTGTGTTATAAAATATTTGAAAATTTGGTATTTTCTTCTATAGTAACTGTGCATTTTTTTCGTTAAATCGATATGGATCCTCGGTGGTAATCCAATTCCTGTAAATTTGATGTCTATGGTATCTACTATCGATTGTTAAATAATATTTGAGAACCAAGTTTTGAATTTTCATTTTGCTTCTTTTTTATCTCCGGTTGAAAAATATGAAAAACTTCGAAGGGTCGTATATCGTGACCTTGACCCTTGGTGACCTTGTGATCCAAACAATTTTGATAGCTCTCAACGAGATCTATCCAATGGTATATTCATTTTTATTGTACGGTGTTTACTTCCGGTTTTATCGTCATTTGAAATATATGAATTTTATCTCTAAGAGCCCGATGAGTCCCTTTTGTAAGTCTTTTGTGGTCTAAACAATAAATGATATTTGTGGGAGTTTGCTCCCTTCAACTGTTGTTTAACACAGTAGGTAAAGGAATATTGACATCATGTAGAGCACATGTTTTTCAAAATTATGCAACTTGAATTGCTCTGTGGAACAATACACAAAGTTGGTCACAAAATTGACTTCATAAGGAATGTAATGAGAGTTGAAGCGATCTGATGAATATGCTTTGCGTTTGGGCGATCTAGAGAACAAGACATGATTTTCAGCTATCTGTTGAATATGCTTCGACTTTAAACTACCTAATCATGGTAGTAAATAATGTTACTGTGACGATACTTTGCGGTATAGTTTTAAGTGTAAAATCAAAACTGTTACGCGCTGTGTTAGAACCACGCGAAGCCTGTGGATCTAGTTTTTCTTACTTTCGTCTGGACATAACAACATAACATAGCAGCATCATCTTCATTTGCTCACCTGACCTTATATCCATTTGGTTTGTTATTAGAAAGAACTGTTCTGAAATGCTTGAATAATATGGATATTCATTATCTAACATATCACAATCTATTCAGTTAATAGAAATTGTGTTAAATCTGATAAGTATACAAAATTTGCAGTTCTGACTTGTGTAAGCAAACTCAGCTCCACTGGCTACTAACTCCTGGTATTCAGTTGGAGTCATGGTGATATCACACTTAACACTGTTCATACCTTGCAAACATATCAGTCAATAGCCTGCTAATTCTTCCGAACAGTTTTCGGGGCCATTTTGACTTTTGGAGCCATTTTTGACTTGGTGCAATTTTGGTTTTGGGCTATATTGACTGTAACCCCACAAGAGTAACCCCCTAATTTTGGGAAAAATTATTGTGTCGATCAGAAAATACTTCGACATTGACATTGACCTAAATGAAGATAATTCAGTGGAGAAATGTTCATGAGATATGTCATCTAATGCTTATGTTAGATATTTCAGATCGTAAAATCAATTGTGCGTAAAATGTATTTTGTATTAGAGGTTTCTTGTATTTTGTCTTTTGAATTAGACGTATAAGGTATTTTGTATTGGAGGTTTCTTGAATTTATTGATTGGCATTGCATTTTGTTACATTTGTGTTTTGAATTTGACCGCTTTCCCCTGCCATAGTATACAGCCACCTGCCGGCCATGAAAATTGGCCAAAAGACTCGGCATGAAGCCCTAAACTCAAGGAATATTACCAATCTTTTATTTAATAGTCAGTTATTCCTTTCCTTTAAGTTGTAGAACAACTACAATTGATCGACATTTCACACATCATCATTACATCATTGAGCTTATACAATTCTGCACTTTTAAGGTTCAAACATTACAAAACCATCTCAAAATTACCAATAAAGAACTTTTACATTTTGAGAAATGTTACAAAGTTAAAATACTTTATTCAATTTTTCGAAACAAGAGTTGGCAAATTTTGAATTCAACTTCGAAAGTTGTCTCCCTTTTTGTACATTTACAAAACAATCTCAAAATTACCAATATAGAACTTTTACAATTTGAGAAATGTATTTCTTGAAGTTACAATTCTACATTTTGCATTGGAAACAACTACATACTGGATTACAGGGGTGAGTGGGATTTGCATAGTTTGCACCCCCAATTGTATTCTCACTTTATTTTTAACAAATTATAAATATGATTTTTATATGTTGTCGCTCCAAAATATGTGTCAGAATGTAACAAATCAATTCAATTATTCGAAAATTGAGGGAGAACCCTCTCAGGACTCTCAAAGAGAGGTTTACAAAAAGACGGCGCCACAGAGTTGGCGCATTTTAAATTCAACTTCGAAAGTTGTCTCACTATTTGTACCCCCAGTCTTGGGAGGCTAGCGCCACCACTGCTTGATTGGATTTGGGTTTATCTTTTTTACCATTTGCCTGCCCATGTGGGTGTATTTGAATATCATAATATATTTACTGTTATTTTTTTTAGAAATAAGTTTTGATTTGAAAGCCTGTTCTTCCATGGCCAAACCTTTTGAGTTTAACTGGCGAAAAAAAGTGCCAGATGCTCTTATGAAAGGAGGTATATTTGATTGTTGGGATGAGGTGAGTATATAAGGTGTTATAAAATGCCATGTTTTAAAGAGTGAGTATAGTGAACCACATCCGTAATAAATTTCAGGTGTCGTATTGATTGAAATAAAATTGTAGAGGAAAAACTAAATAATCGGAGCTAAAAAGTCGGCATCAAAAGTCAAAATTTTCAATTTTGTAATTGCTATCCTTTAGCCATTAGCTCGATCTTATAAACCAAAAAAGTTGAATCAAAATTCGAGTCGTTATTTAGAAAAAATCGCTTTTGTCCTACTTCATTTCCAGTTGAAAAAAAATTGTGAAAAAAACATTCATCAGATTCACGACATTAATGGGAGAAATCGTAACAGTATATATGTGGCATGTGTAGTTTTGGCTGTGCACTCGCACAACAGCAAGAAAATGGGCTTAAAAGTGCCCCTCCTCAGATATGTGTTTAAGTAAAATTCATCTGAAAGTATCATTATACGCCCACATGAAATTTGATTCAGTATCGCCTCAAAAAGTTCAAAGGAAGTGTATGTCTGAAGGTTGAATATTTCTTACTGGTGATTGTTACTGTACTGCCAAATATTTTTATTAAGAATCAAAGCTGCCAGTGGGCGTATATTACCTTGCCTGGCAAGCTATCTTTTCAAACTTTAAACGCTCACACCACATGACCTTAACCTTTGATGACCTTGACCTTTAGATGGTCAAAGGTCATTGACCTTGGCTATCAGTTGATGTATTGACATTGGACCTCCGACATGACATGACCTTCTACAAGACAAAAAAAAACAAATTCGCAACTTTGGACTGCTCTAGCACGTGAGAGGGTTAATTTTTACAGTTTGGTTTCCTAATGTGCTTCTCATGCACTTTACATTAATATATAAAAATCGTTTATAAAGCAAAATTGAAATTCTTGATTTTTTCAAATTTGATAGTTTTTTTTACAATATTTGTGTCTCTTTTAGCTTGGAGTATGTATATCTTACAATTACAATACAACTAAACACTTTGAATATGAATTCACCTTCGACAAAAAAATGTAGGTGGGCGTGGCACATCCAGGTCGAATTACTAATTGTTTACATTTTGGGGCAAGGGGCATAATTCGCATAGGATACGTTTGTTCAAAAAGGGACTTTGCACACTATTACCTCATCCTTTTGGCCAGTTTGTGTTAACAGCTCAGTTGGTTCAGCTTTATAGTTCCAAAAAAGGAATGGGTTTTTAACATTTGGATATTTTAATTTTTCGATTTTGATCTTTGTTGACTTTTGTTGACCTATATCTTTTGACCTGCATGATATAGAAGCTTGGAATTTGGTATACAGCATAACATGTTAAATATCAATTAACTTATGTTAAATAAATGAGGTGGGCATTGCACATCTGGGTTAAATTACTAACTATTGTTATTTTTGTTAAGAGGCACAACTCTCAAAGAATACATTTGCTCAAAATGGAACTTTGCATACAAATACCTCATGTTTTGAGCCACTTTGTCTTAGAAGATTAGTTGTTTCAGCTTCATAGTTCTAAAAACAGAACAGGTTTGGGAAATTCACAATTTGCAATTTTTGACCTTGACCTTTGTTGACCTTGACCTTTGTAATTGCTGTCTTATGTCAACTTCCGGCTTTATAGCCGTATGCAATTTGAAAATTTGATGACTTATATCTCTTGATCTTGACCTTTTTAGTCCTTCTCCTTTACAAATTGAAAGGTTATTGACCTTGGCTATCTGCTGATGCTTTCATTTGTGAGGTCTGAGGTCTGTTTCAGCTTCATAGTTCTAAAAACAGAACAGGTTTGGGAAATTCACAATTTGCAATTTTTGACCTTGACCTTTGTTGACCTTGACCTTTGTAATTGCTGTCTTATGTCAACTTCCGGTTTTATAGCAGTATGCAATTTGAAAATTTGATGACTTATATCTCTTGATCTTGACCTTTTTAGTCCTTCTCCTTTACAAATTGAAAGGTTATTGACCTTGGCTATCTGCTGATGCTTTCATTTGTGAGGTCTGGCATCTACTTCCGGTATTACAATCTTCTAAATAATGAAAATTTCTCAACTTTAGACTGTTCTTCTACTTGACCTAATTGTCGTCAAAGGTTTTTTTTTCAGGGTCTTTAGCAAATTGTTACATTTGCAAAGTCGTCATTTCTGTACGCCCACATGGAAATGTGGACGTATATTGCCATCGTCCCTGTCCGTCAGTCCGTCCGTGCGTCCACATTTCTTCTAGGCGTGATAGAGGCTACAGTTTTTATCCGATCTTGATGAAACTTGGTATGCATGTATATATTGATGAGATCTCGGACAAGTTTGAAATTGGTAATAATCCGAAGAACGGTTTCAGAGTTATTGCCCTTGACTTATTAAAAATGCGACAAATTTGACTTGTAGGCATGATAGAGACTACAGTTTTTGTCTGATCTTGATGAAATTTGGTATGCATGTACAGTCAAGTAACCTAATTTCGTGGTAACCTATTTTTCGTGGATTTCCGGAAATGATTAATAATTTACATGAGCGACCTCCGCATTTGCTTGTTTTGATAAACATGGGTTTTCTGTACAATATCAGCTAGTAGAATGAATTCAGTAGTTTCAAGCAAGGTAAAATGTTTTAATGTATACTTTAACAAATACAAAATGGGGGATTTCAGTTATTACCAAACGTCACCATTTTTTATCGGCCGAAGTTAATTATTCCACCCGGTATCCATACAACGTGTTTTTCTAGACTTATTTATAGATCAAACATTGTACACGAAAATAGGTGATGTATTCTGCCGCCGTTGCTGAGTTGGTTGCTCATGAAACATGGGTCAAAGTGAATGATTCATAAAGAAAATCGAATTAAACCAATTTTGAGGAAACATCTAAGACATAAAAAAAAAATTTGTTTTTTTAACTTTGACGAAATTCGGTGTTGAATCCTTATATCCACAAAAATAGGTTACACCACTGTATATATTGATGAGATCTCGGACAAGTTCAAAATCGGTAATAATAGGAAGAATGGTTTCAGAGTTATTGCCCTTGACTTAGAAAAAACGTGTCAAATTTAACTTGTAGCCACAATAGAGACTAGTTTTTATCCGATCTTCATGAAACTTGGTTTGCATGTATGTATTGATGAGATCTCAGTCAAGTTTGAAATTGGTAATAATCGGATGAATTGTTTCAGATTTATTGCCCTTGACATAGTAAAAACATGTCAAATTTGGCTTGTTGGCACGATAGACTACTGTTTTTTATACGCCCACATGAATATGTGGTCGTATATTGTCGTCGCCCATGTCCGTGGGTCCGTCCGTCAACATTTCTTGTGAGCACTATAGAGACTACAGTTTTTATCTGATTTTGATAAAACTTGGTGTGATGCTTAAGATTGATAAGATCTCGGTCAAGTTTGAATTTGACATATTTTCGCTGAACGGTTTTTGAGATATTGCCCTTGACTTAGAACGCCTTGAAATTTGTTAAAAATTGTTCGTGAGCAGGATTGAAGCTACAGTTTTCATCCGATTCTGATGAAACTTAGTGTGATCATTGGAATTCATAAGATCTCGGACAAGTTCTAAGTTGATGCATTTTCGATGAACGGTTTTTGAGTTATTGCCCTTGACTTTGTTAAAATGGGTCGAAATTTGTTAAAAATAGTTTGTGAGCAGGATTGAAGCTATAGTTTTCAACCGATTCTGATGAAACTTGGTGTGATCATTGGAATTGATAAGATCTCGGACAAGTTCTAACATGACGCATTTTCGATGAACGGTTTTTGAGTTATTGCCCTTGACTTTGTTAAAATGCGTCGAAATTTGTTAAAAATAGTTTGTGAGCAGGATTAAAGCTACAGTTTTCAACTTATTTTGATGAAACTTGGTGTGATCATTGGAATTGATAAGATCTTGGACAAGTTCTAACTTGACGCATTTTCGATGAACGGTTTTTGAGTTATTGCCATTGACTTTGGTAAAAAGTGTTGAAATTTGTTAAAAATAGTTTGTGAGCAGGATTGAAGCTACAGTTTTCAACCGATTCTGATGAAACTTGGTGTGATCAGTGGAATTGATAAGATCTCGGACAAGTTCTAATTTGACACATTTTTGATGAACAGTTTTTGAGTTATTGCCCTTGACTTTGTTAAAACGTGTTGAAATTTGTTAAAAATAGTTTGTGAGCAGGATTGACGCTACAGTTTTCAACCAATTCTGATAAAACTTGGTGTGATCATTGGAATTGATAAGATCTCGGACAAGTTCTAACCTTAATAACAATCTAAAGATTTGAATATATTGAAAAACAACAAATCTTGTAAAAATACATTCTCCTCCAGTTCTTTGTGAAACGGGATTATCCTAGAAAAATTGTCCACATTGATATAATTAATTTATGGGTTGAAACCACACATACAAAACTTGGTGTGATCATTGGAATTGATGAGATTTTCGAGTTATTGCCCTTGACTTTGTAAAAACGCGTCAAAATTTGTTCGTGAGCACAATAGAAACTACATTTTTCAACTGATTCTGATGAAACTTGGTGTGATCATTGAAATTGATAAGATCTCGGACAAGTTCTAACTTGACGCATTTTCGATGAAATGTTTTTGAGTTAATGCCATTATCTTACGAAAAACGCATCAAAATTTGTTTGTGAGCACAATAGAAGCTATAGTTTTCAACCGATTCTGATGAAACTTGGTGTGATCATTGGAATTGATAAGATCTCAGACAAGTTCTAAGAGATGTTTTTGATGAACATTTTTTGAGTTATTGCCCTTGACTTTGTAAACACAAAAGTAGTTTTTTGCCCTTGATTAGAGCTGTGTGATTTAATTGTTTGTCGTATTTGGGTTATTGATATTGATTTTAAAAAATTTTGTGGAATTATTCAGCATAAATAATTTCTTCAATATGAGAAAATTCGTACTTTAGTCACTAAAGACTGTTTTATAATATCTGACAGCTGCCAGTGGGCGTATGTTACCTTGCAACGCAAGCTATCTTA